TATTGAAAACAGAAATCACTAAGGTAATTTTACATTTATGATTGAATGTATTTCAATACATGGATACAATTGAATCATTTTGACGATATTTTTTTAAGTGTACCAAATTTAAAACTATATTGAGTACTAGTTTCTCTAAAACTGTAATGAAGAACAATGATGGTCTGTAATATTAAATATTCTATTTCTTTATATGCATGAAACATGTCAACGTACTCATATATGAATACGTATGACTATAATATACAGTATACTTCAATAACCTCAGTGCACACATTGTCGAGGCATTTAGACTTGTAGCCGGCTCAATGTGGTCGATAGAATCTGATGATCGCTAAGAAGTAGGAGAATATGACATTCATTCTTTCATTAACCAGTCAGTGAATCCTGCTAATATATGTCATGTTTTTAGTTAATTCATGAGAATCATTTCATTCTTAATATGTGATCGTAAACTATATCAGTGTATGAAAATACTACTAACTTTGATTAATGCAGAGATACTTATTATTATATAAACTCTTAAATCTACTCTTGTACTAAACATTATCCATTTTACAAAGTAGTGATAGGTTAGCTTTAAGTTTCATAAGCTAATCGTATCGCTGGACAAAATTTACTTATGATAGTGCAGTGTCCACCACTTATTCAGACAAACGTGAGTAGTATGTAGCAGAAATTAAATATAGAATGCTTCCCAGTAGAGGAGTGAAATAAAGAGAAGGGATAGAAAAACAAAAACCACTTGGTATAATAACAGGACCGAAAAAATGATGAAGTATGTAAAGGACAACTGACTGAAGATATGCAAATAATGTATTTAACGCATGATTTTCATATTTTACAAGCCAATAAATTGGGTTCCCCTATCTGCCCTTCCGTTCACTACGATAGTATCTCGAAACCACTTTCATTATCAAAATATTCGCAAACAAGTTCTAAAATACTTTGGATCTTTATTAACATTTTAAAAAGGGTTTTTACTGCTGTTAAGATATGCCATGTTAAGCTTTGGTTGATATTTTAATTACGGTTAAAATAAAAATGTCCTAAATTAGGACAAGACAAAAACTCAAGCTAAAATAATCCAGTGTTATTCAAGATCAAATTAACGAAATATAACGAGACATAGTTTGTGTCTTATTTATAGGATATATGCAACATAATACGGTAAGTATTTATGGAAAATGAACCATGCGTATTAATTCCTAACTGTATACTGTATTGATCGAAAAATCCATGATTAATTTTCGAAAAATCAAGGCAATAAAAATTAGTTAATTATTTAATGATAAACAACAATCATCTTTTGTTACTATATTTCAAAATGACGTAACATTAGTTCAATTAAGAATGATCTACGTATTTTGTTTGCGAAATCAGACAAATTGGAAAAATTTCATACACATAGTTCCCACTATCATTTTGAAAAGAGCAAGAACAAAGATTCTAGCAGAATAGCATGAATTCATTGTATTTCGTAGGTTCTCGTCAGCTGCTTACAACCTGTGACATGTAAAAATCATAATTACATAATGGGTTTAAATTGCTTACATGAGAGGGTTTTTTTGGAAGTTATATTGAAGACCTATTCGTATAGTATAGCAAGGGTGTAAATAAGTGTAATAGACTGTATGTTGTAAATATATACCTTATGTAAAAGAACAACAGTTTAAACGGCTAGAAACAAGTAAACATTGATAGGAATATAGTGAGTAGAGTTCAGTTGAAAGATTATTAATTTCTATTATTATTATTATTCCTATTATTAATTCCTATCAATGTTTATTCAATATGTAATCAATTGTTTCTAACCCCCTTTTGAACTGTTGTCACAACTAATGCTGTAGAATATTCTTACACACTAGGTATATATTTACAAGATTCAGTCTATTAATTTCATTCACACCTATGATATACTTTACAAATATGTCTTCAATATAACTTCCAAGCAAACCCTCTCATGTAAGCAATTTAAACCCATTATGTAATTATGATTTTTACATGTCACAGGTTGTAAGCAGCTGACGAGAACCTACGAAATACAATGAATTCATGCTATTCTGCTAGAATCTTTGTTCTTGCTCTTTTCAAATTAGAAAAAAGTCAATTCTGAAATCCGAAATTCTTCAAAGTTTGAAACTAAATTATAATCTTAAGAAAATTTATTTTCTTCACAAAATATATAGACCTTGAAAGCCTATTCGAACTAGACAAGTTTGTAATAGGAAACAGAAAATTCTATATAAAGACATAAACTATTCTTTGATCATAGATTCAGTAAATATTATTCGAATTCAATAAAGTCCATTGAATATAAAGTCCGGTATTGCCATATTTTAAATTATCGAAAGAAAAGAAGAAATCAAAATGAAACAAATAAAGTGCGCAGCCTATAAGAATTTAGTAACTTGAGTCGGCATGTATTTATGAAAATCACTAAAGCTAACCAATGCAAATGTAGAGACATTTGTTGTTTTCTTTAAAGGAACCTACTTATATGGAATGAAATTTTACTTAAAAAGAAATATCAGCATTATAAACAACTGATTGAAAACATTTGAATACACTAATTATACATCATTTCAGTACTATGATATTTCAGTCAATAAGAGATAAGAACAATGTTTATTTTTTTAAAACTATAAGTTACTTCTAATTAATGTTGCATGATTATTCATGATTTGGTTTCTTTCTTCATTTCACATCCAAATAGTTTAGACTAAATTACTCTTATGATAAGTAAACTATTTTAGTCTGTTTGTAAACTTTCATTGTTACTATGTTCAATTGTTTGAAAAATTATATATTTGTGTTAATTTATTCAAAAAATACCACAAATTTGAATAACAGACTAAGTAGGTCTACAGGTCTCTGAAAACTAACGTAAGTGAACTGATTTCCGCTAGTTAGTTTATCAGAAAAACTGACGAGACTATAATTTATGAACGAACCAATCAAGCATAAGATAACAAATCTCGGATTTTGGCGTGTAATTCACCCATCCATTTGGCTAAATAAAGTTTTGGCATTATCGTTGATGTCAGTTCGTGATGAAAACCCTAAATGTAATTCCTAACAGTAACCCTCAATTGTAAATCATAATTGTAATTACTGACACCGGTTTATAATCCTCATTTGGTCCTAGTTATTAAGTGAACACTTTCAACGTCAGTTTAGCGTCGTTCAAAGATTGTCCATAAATTACAGTCTCACCGAAAAACTTTAGGGATTAGATTGTTCATGAACTTAAAATTCAACCAAACTATTGATATAGTTCTACTTCTAGTAGCAGTTTGTAGTTGTACATATAACAAAATCTATTTTGTTAAATAACTTGGAAAATAAATAGAAACCAACTATTAGAGCGGTAAAAATTGCTTTCGGTTTTTTACTGAATATTTATGTCATTAATTATCGTGTTGATATTTCAAAGAAGTAGACCGTAACCTAAATGCCATCAGTTCTCATTGAAATAAACTTATGACCTCTATTTACTTAGAAGTACAAACGCACATCAATAGATTTATATAAACGAACCGATATCTACAAGAAATAATTTGAATTTGATTGTAAAGTGTAATCTACAAACTGATTATAGAAATAGAAGAATGTAGGTTGCTGAAATTTCAGAAATCAGGTCAACACAGTAATCAACAGTTTAATATATAATCGGTTTTTTTTATTTGGAACAAAAATAAAACGTGAAGCTCATTTTTATTTTTAGATCTAATTAAGGAAAATAATTTTTGTTTCACATCAAATCTGAATTACACAATGTGATAGTGATTTTATTTAACACACTATGCAAAAGGTTATGTAACTTCACTTTAGATGAGTTTAACAGATAATTGTATACATAAATACCTTCGTTATAAGTCATACTTAAAGAAAGTATATTATTTATCAATAAATACAAAGATCGAAAACAGTTCCTGACATAAAGTGACAACAGATGAATGATCACTAAAAATTAAGGAGCACTAGACAGCCTGGAGCCTCTCTAGAGCTACCGCCGGTCCGAAACCCGTATAAAGAAGGAAGGTTGGGATTGGGGTTAGTGATCTCGTCCCGTAGAAAACTAACTCGCTAAAAAAACGCTAACCATAAATAATGATTCATACCAGATAAGTAAGTAAGTAAGCCGCTCTTTTCCATCTTAAGACTTCTGTAAATTGCAGACTAACAAGTTCATGTTTAATTGAGATCAGGAAATGCTAACCTTGTGGCATTTATGATGGCTCCAGAACACTGAGACGAGTTCTAAAGGTTCAAAATATTCAGTCTAAACAATTTGTAATATAATCTGTTTTCTCCATTTAATATCTTTGATAACTTTCAGCGTTTCTCAGAAACAGACCAATTATTTTCCTAGAACAAGTTTGATCTAACGTACAGTTAGATAAGTTTATCACGAGAATCATCCAATAAAGTTGAATGAATAGCAAATAAAAGCAATTTAAAAAGTATTTCCTGACACATCTGATCGACTATAAATATGTTGATCTAGCATGAATAAAAATATGTTGTTCATCTGCATTATGTAGTTCATAGAATTCGTATACGCCTATACCAGTGAACATATATTCTCATACCGTTTCATCCCTAATGTTTAATTTGCTACTTAAAAATTTTCTCAACAGACTATTATGAAATATTCATATCTAAAAGTAAGCTGATCCATATTCAGTAAGCCATTTAAGAACCCCAATATTTTTATAGCATTGTAAATAATGTGATACTACTTACACGAACAATGCCTAATACAACAAAAACTACAATGTGAAAACATAAAGAATTAACTTCAGGAGAAGTTCTAGATCAACTAGCGTAAATTTAATTACAATATTTAAAAAAACGCATGAAATAGAACTTCTCAAATGTCAATATTAACCACCATTCGCTTAAACTGATTTATTCATTCTATTCATATAATTTGCTATTCATAAATCATTTAATAGTTTATTCAATCATTTCAATCATAAACATTTCGAACTTACTTTAATTTGATTATTTGACAAGATATTAGGTTTTACATAATGCTGTTGATTATTAATACAATTAAAATAAGGATGTTGATCATTTCCATCGAAACATCGTGAGCTACATTGTAACAAATTCATAGCAGTTTCAGCTATTTTTACTACTGGTTTACACATATTGTTAGTATAAGTAGTAATAGTAGGTGTAGTGATATTTGTAATATTTTTATTAGTTTCTCTAAACTGCTGCTTTTCTATCATATGTGATTTGTTCGTATCAAGTAATTTTTTGTCAATTATATCTGATGACACAGTTTCTTCTATTAACTTAGTACCATTTTTCGAGACAATCGGTCTACGAACATATGCTCTTGGAGGTATCGGTGGTGCAGTCGAAGGTAAAGTGGATATAATAGTAGTAGAAGCAGTAGCAGTAGTAGTGGTAACTCTTGGAGAAGAAGTAACAATAAATGGAGCCATAGTACCACCACTGACAATAGAAACACTACATGGTGCTTCAAATGGATGTTCTTTTGTATTCGATGAAGAATGATTCCTTCTCTGAAGAGAATAAAAGTATGCATTTGGTGCATGTTCAAATACATTGGGATTTTTTGCTTGAGATGTATACGAGGATGATGACGAGGATGGGGATCGATAGAAAACATGATGATTAGTTAAAATCTTATTTGTTTGAGAAGATTGCTTTTTGGTATTGTTCCAGGTCTGAAGGTGATTGTAGGAAGAATCAAAATTATTCTGATTAATATATCCACTCAATAACTGGTTATTTTGATTATTAAAGAAGATAGGCTGCTAATTGAATCAAAAAAACAAACATTCGTTCAATTTGCATATAGAATAATATGATGTTTATTTGCCTCACTAGCATTTAAAATGATTTTTAAACTATTCAATGTTACCAGAAAACACATGTTTGTATATGACTGATTACTTATATATTACTAGTGTAGTGCATGCTACTTACGTTGACATAAGTAGTATATAGCGCCAGTCAGAAGTGGAATACCTGATAGCAGAAGGTTGAGAAGCTCGAGTTAAAGAGAACGGAAACAGAAAGTAGTAGGTATGTAAATGAACGGGCAATAAATTTTAAGAAAATTAATGGACATTTTGCAAATAAAGGATTGCACGTATGGTTTTTACATTTTACCTAAAAGCTTTGTTTATCATTCCTTGGTTATTAAATGAATATTACACTGATATCTAAGCCACTTAGTTTTACAAGACCGCCTACATTTAAATATGAAATATATGGTCAAGTGTAAAACAAACATTTGGAACTATTATTACAATAATTTTCTTAGAGTGGAAATTTTAAAATTGGACTACATGAATAAAGTAGATTTTTTTTATGAATACCTACGATCGCTTATAATCCGACTCAATTGTACAACACATACCAATCATTTTAACGTGTACACATGCTACTAACATGATCATATTAGAAATCTTAAGTTCCTATTATACTATTTGCAAAACAAAACATATTTCACTAAAACCTAACTCATCATGCTGATCAATAATTTTTATGTATATATGTGTAGTGAACAAAGACTTGAAAGGAATAACACACATTAGCTTTGTAAAGTATGAAAATCATACATTAAATACATCATTTACACATCTTTGCATTGTCCTTTACATACTCATTTGTTTCCCTTATTCTGTCGTTATTTTGATTCCTCGTAGATCTCCTTCTGTACCACCAGGCATTCCCTTATTCCATGTCCGACTGATGCTACATACTAATTACACCTGTCTACATAAGTAGCTAACAACATATACATAATCGAAAATTCGACTGACAAATATCTCCGTTTATATTACATTTTCTATTATTTTTGGACATACCATGAGACTGAACATTTATATTTTTGATGAGTAACAGTCCTGCTGTAGTGAGCGAGAAAACAAGTGAGGACAACCAAATGTATTCTAATACATTACAGAATATCTTCGTAAAATATGAGATTCATTTAGTAATACTTCATTTGCAAAATGTCAGTAAGTTGTTTCAGACTTGATTGTTCCCTCGTCCCCATACCATTAATTCTGTTTTCTCGTTCTCTTCTCAATTTTCTCAATCTTCTGCCACCAGGTATTCCACTTGTGGTTGGTAATACATGCTAATTATATTTTTCGATATTAGTAGAACACACCACACTATTATTGAAGTAATATGTATGTTTAGGATAAATTACCCAGTGTCTCTATGATTCCAATTGTGTAAAGTGAACTTGGTAATAAAAATGAACATGAAATTAACGTAATTTGGATTGTTATGTTAATTACTTATCAACATTATGAAATCTTAATTCTTTTAAAGTCCACTATAGTACCTTAATAAATATGATTAGGCAATCTATTTATGGAATGTACATTCATAATTGTGATATACAATTTGAATTATAAAATCACACTAAGTTGGGAATGTCATTATAATATACCAGGAAATTAGGATGTGTTTAAACAAGCGATAGGTACTGAATCACGTTAACACAATTGATTTAAACCTAAAGTTAATAATGAGATCATGAACAGACTGATGTTAGATCACCGTTGGAAACCTAGAAGCACTGGACGGCTATGTCGTCCTATTTTGGGACTCTTTTCAGGTTTCCAATGGTTGTCTAACACGAATCGGTTCATGATCTCAATCAAAAACTTAATAATTTCCACAACCCTATACTGTTAATAGTAATATTTATACTGTTTATTGGCTTACAAATAGTTAAAATGAGTCATTGTATTTTTTGGGCATAATAACGTAATGCAAGGATGTTTTTTCCACTGAAAATCATCGTTATGCAAATGACTAATGAGTTGTATGTACTTACAGAAAATACTATACTTGCTTCGATTAACAGTCAAACAATTCACATTATTGTTATTATTATTATTTACTACGTCATTTATTCTTTCCCTTTTAATCCCACTTTATGTGTCCTTATTTTTAGACTTATACAGCAGCTCGCCTATGGTGGAAACTCAGTTCTATCTAAACGTTCTCTAGTCACTGACTGATTGAAAATTGAACGCTACCATCAAATACGAATGCTGAAGCAGTTTATCTGAAACCGTGTGCACCATTCAAACTGGCTTCCTTCAACGTTCGCACACTTATGCAGGTCGGAAAACAGATAGCTACCGTTGGCGTATATGTGTACAAGACTGCCGCTTCTTTTGTAGTACCTAACTGGACTCTGATCATGCCCTGGTCTGCCCTAATCTTACTTTACTTTTCAGTGGCCAACGAAGTGACTGCCATCGATGTCAGCAAGTTGGTTGCAACTAAGTATCGAACGGAGGTAGCTTCTAGGCTAGCTACCATTCCACTGAAAAGTATAGATGAACATTGATTGCAACTTTGTGACGCCATCAAAATGGCGAGTAGAGCCGCTTGCGGCTTCGCGAAATGTCCCGCTTATATACACTGGGTTTTTTCAGGCTCCTTATAATCCATTGAATCCCGTCGGTCTACTCCCGGTGACCGTCAGTTTGACCTCAAACGAAGATTGTTACGTAATGAAATTGGGCAAAGCTTGCGTAAGGACCGAGAAGCCTGGTGGTCGAAGCGTGCTAATGAGCTGGAAGCAGCAGCTGCATCTGGTAATTACCGGAAGCTCTTCCAACTCATCCGAGCCACTAGCAGCAAGAAGTCTGGTGTGAACGAAACAATCTATGAGGATGACGGGATGCTAATCACTAACATCCATCGACGTCTTGAACGATGGGCAGAATTTTTCGAAGGGCAGTTCAACTGGCCTGCTGCTCTGGCAACATCGGTCAGAATGTCCTGCCCTCCATGGCCGGTGACGACTGATCCATCAAACAAGGAGGAAGTCCGCAAGGAACTCCAACGCTTGAAGCGTTACAAATCACCTGGCCCAGATGACTTACCTCCGGCTCTTTTTAAAGATGGTGGTGACTTTTTGACTAAGGAATTGACGACGTTGTTTACAAAGGTTTGGGAACTAGAGAGTGTACCAACGTCATGGAATGAGTCGATAGTTGTCCCTATCTTTAAAAAGGGTTCACGTCGTTCCTGTAACAACTATTGGGGGATAAGTCTACTTCCGATTGCGTCCAAGCTATTGGCTTCCATCATACTTTGTAGGTTGTTCAAAACCCGAGAAAGATTGACTCGCGAAGAGCAGGCTGGGTTTCGTTCTGGTCGAGGATGTATTGATCATATCTTCACCCTCCGCCAAATGTTAGAACATCGCCATTCTTATCAAAGGCCAACGATCGTAGTGTTTCTTGACATCAGGGCTGCCTTCGATTCGTTGGACAGGACTGTTCTCTGGGATTGTCTATTGAAGAAGGGTGTGCCTGAGAAGTTTATTAACATCCTAAAAGCCTTATATACAAACACCTCAGGCAGAGTGAGGGCATACAACCACCTCTCTCCATTGTTCCATTCGAGCAGTGGGGTTAGGCAGGGTTGCCCAATCTCACTATTCCTCTTCAACTTTGCCATCGATGACATTCTGGAAACAGCTCTGATGGAGGTAAGTAATGGTGGTGTAGATCTGTTGCCTGGAGAAAGACTTCTCGACCTTGAGTATGCGGACGATATTGTCTTACTGTGCGATACTGCCCAAGGCATGCAATCCGCACTTAATCAGTTGGCAATCAGTGTCCGTAGGTATGGTATGTGCTTTGCACCTTCGAAGTGCGAAGTACCTCTACAAGACTGGCAGGATTCTAATCTTGTACTCACCATGGTTGGTGAGCAGATAAAAGTAGTCGAGAAGTTCGTGTATCTGGGTAGCTGCATAAGTGCTGGTGGTGGCGTGAGTGATGAGACCAATGCACGTATAGTGAAAGCCAGAGCGGCTTATGCCAATCTGGGCCACCTTTGGCGCCTTCGTGATGTTAGTCTGACTGTAAAAGGTCGGATCTACAACGCGTCGGTGAGAGCAGTTTTGCTCTATGCTTGTGAAACCTGGTCTCTCCGAGTTGAGGACGTTAGACGACTCTCTGTGTTCGATCATCGTTGTCTCCGAAGGGTCGCTACATCCAGTGGCAACACCATGTCAGTAATGCAGAGGTTCGGCATCGTGTGTTCGGGCACAGAGACGATAATGCAATTGGTGTCACCATCTTGAAAAATCGAATTCGGTGGCTTGGACATGTTCTACGAATGCCGAATCTGGGACTGGTCGGAAAATAGCGGAAAAGTGGTCAGTGTATGACATGGTGTCGTGGTCTGAAATAAAGCTGCAAAGGGCTGGTCCTTCACAACTCCAGGGTTGGGGTCCTAGAGATAGTGCAACACAGTGGCTAGAGACGTTATCAGACATGGCTCAGAATAGAAGCCAATGGCGATCCTGCTGTAACCTTCTTTTACTTTCTTCATAAAAAAATAGTTGTTTCTTCCTTAACTGGAAGAATTGTTCTGGTTGTACCTTTCCGTTTCCCCATTATTATTATTACTACACTATCTTACACTAATTTGTGGTCGTTATTGTTCTTTCTTTTGTATCTTCTTTTTTTCTCTTCCCATTCTCATTGTTTTGTGTGGCGCATATATATTTGTTGCCCCCTTGTACCAATATTTATGTGTTTAAATAAATAAATAGATAAATAACAAAATTGAATTTCCATGATGGTTTTTTTCAACGAATCAACCAGAATATAAAATGAATTGAATGAATCCTAAAATCGCTCAGGTTTTTTGATTGGTTTAATTTACAAAGCGTGAATAGTTTGCACATCTTTTTTTTGAAAGAAATGCAAACCCGAGAAAAACGAAATAAAACTAATCAATTCTGTGAAATTTGTTCAACATATGTTTCCTTGTTATATTTTTTATCTTATTTTGCTTAAAAGAAAAACAAGACGATTTGTTCTATCTGCATTAGTTTTATGCTAAGATGGCTATTTATTTTTTTGACATTTATTAAATGAATTTTTTAAATTTATCAAAATAGGATCCAGGTAAAGACAGTAGCTATGCCGGAATTATAATTTACCATTGAAATATCATTTACAACTTATATGATCAAATGTATTACTCATCCTTGACAGTAAAATGTATTATAATGAATGGAGAATGATTTTTAACTGTGTATCACAATGTGATCGCGATTGTTAATATTAAAATGCAAATTATATCTATGTTCCATGTAGTAAAATGAAACAAGTTTATCTCAATAAACGATCATTCAAAATTAGATGAAGTAAAACAATTAAAGCTTTAAAGATCAAGTACTTTGTATCATATTTGACACAATTCACTGCAATCTGATTGATCACGGAGTAGTGAAAAATCTTACATGTCTCCATCACCTTAATGTCGATCAAATCTTGTCGACAAAGTTACGATGTGGCTACTAGTTTAAGTGACTCAAAAACACGTACACATTGTTTTAAAATTTAGTTCCCTTAACATTTCTGACCAGTTGCAAATTATCATAAAACTTAAATTTATAGTTTTCTCTCGATTACTTTCAAGTATGTTATATTAATCGGCTTTGTCTATTTTAAAAGTGGTTCATCAAGAACTGGTTTCGGCTGAAGAATCAATAAGTCTATACACCCAGTAAGTCATTACTAGAAATGTTTTTTTATGCTGAAGTACATTTCAAACAATTTAGGACCAAATTGGATTTTTTTTCACAGAGTTGACTTAGTTACACCTTATATTATTCAATATAGTTCCAAAAAGTTTGGCATAGTTTGCTGTTACATTTCGAATTCAGTTAATCACTATTAGGTTGTAAAGCTCTTGGTATTATTTTAATATATCAAGATAATTGGAATTTTTTATATGTAGAAGAATACTATCTATAACACAGAGGATACAACTAAGTAGTTGTCCAGTTATGTCCTTCTTCAAATTTTTGTTTATACAGTAAACCCTGACACCTCGAACCAGGGAGAAATGAAATAAATTGTTTTATGATGGTTGAATCCATGAGTTTATATAAGCTAGACCACCATTGAGAATGTGGAATCACTGAACGGCCATTTCATCCTAATGTGAGACTTCTCAGCGGTATGCATCCACGATCCGTCAAGAAAGACTTGAAACCAAGACCTTCGGTCTCTCAACCACTGAGCTGGCATCCAACAATGTTCATATCTAACTCCAATTGATCCATGATCTTACGCAACCCTTCATCCATTGTCTAAGGTAGATAACTTTTTCACATTCGACACGGATCGGACTTCACAGCCGTTCAGTGCTGGTCTACCTCAGATCGCTTCAGGAATTTAAGTATTAAAATTGCAACAATCTCCACAAATTTCCATTCTGTTTTACAATAATTAGAAAGGAATTACTTAAACATGTATCTACTTGTTTTATTTACCGGTAAAAGAAAGAATTATAGTCTTAACTTGTGTAAATATTTATTTTAAACAGACGTAGTGACCTGACAACGTAATTCTTTTAAGAGTTTCTCTCAAAAAGATACACCATGATTACAGGTAATATACATGCAGCATGAATCTTTTTTATGATATTTACTTACTTCATTTATCTGATGTCCACTAAAATGACGAATTCTTCGGTGACTACAATTTATTCGTTGCAAGTCATTTGCAGGTACATATCTTGGCATTAGAATGAATGACTCATGATGAGCGAAATTTCCGTTTGATTGATAATGAGGTCGCTGTTGTTGTTGTTGTTGCTGTTGCTTCATTTGATCCTGATGAAAAGATTTATGATAAAAAATCAGATGACCGTCAGGAGTTGCTGGATCTGTTTGAACATGACTAGATTCACCATTGCTTTGGTGATGATTATTTAGGATGTTTAAAATATCTTCTTGTTGGAGTGATTTTCTAACATTGACTTTTTGATTTTCCGATGGTATTTTTTCTTCGTTTTTAGAAATATTATTATTATTATTGTTATTATCAGTCGGTGGTAGACTACCACCACGTGAATGTCCATTTTTGTCATTTGTAAAATATCGTAAATATTGTTCTGCAATCATTCCTATTGATTGTCGTCGACGTACATTATTAAATAATTCAGTATCTTTATTTAAGCGCCACCATTTCCATGATTTTTTTGATTCTGAATTATCATCTATTAGATTATCTGTAAGTGAATTTCTAGTAGGTGATAAATCAGTTTTGTTTCTCACATGAAATGATCTTTGAGGAGACTGAAAAAAACCATATCAATGAAATACATTTGGTTGGATGAAAAAGGAATGAGCGACATGTTAAATGAAAGTTCAAATAGTAATATTGGTTGGTTAATGTTAGCCTGAAGATCATATTATTAACATAACTACAGATTAAAACAATTGTTACTTTAAATTCACTTCGTAGTGTTTGTTTGAATCTTCGCATTGATGTTTAAGACTGCAATTGATTAGTCTCTTATTAGCATATGTGCATACTGTGTATATTGCTTCGATAGAGTCTTAATTCATAAGCATTAATTTCAATTAACTAACGCTAAATAAGTAGAAATCATGGGTTTATAAATTTTAGTAATCAAAAGTGTTCGATTTGAAATGTAATTTTTGAGATTATTGGTAACGGAACACATCGTCAGTCAATCGTAATTCACAATTAATAAATTTTGGTGACATTTAAGAAGACGTAGAGTAAGTGCTGACAAATATTTAAACTTGGCGTAAATAAACAGTTTCATTCAAAGGAAAATTCAATCATATAAAGTTTGTAACGCACTGATTTATGAAGTTGAATGAGATGGTCTATTAATACATAGATAAATACGGCAATTTATTTCAAGTTAGATCTAGTAAATATAAAGAGTGGTGTGACCAGCAATTTCATAGAACCGTTGCATAATGTATAAAAAGAACTTTCCTTCTGTATACATAGGTCAAGTTGGAAAAAACGAAGATTGGTATGCTTTTGTCTATTGATTATTTTGAATGCATCACCTATATTCATTTCATGTCCACTAACCAAAAGATGTCTAGCAATTACACTTGTAAACGATTTACTCCTTTTTAGCCGTAAACTTCACAAACTAAAATGTGTTAAACGTTTATTAATAATTAAATTTATACTAATAATTGTAATTTTAGATTGTATACAACTGACGAGAAACTATGAAATAGAATGAATTTATTTTATTCGGCAAGCTTTGTTGATCATCGTCTGTTCAGTTATATAATTCATCTGGTAGAAATTCCTAGGACATACCACACTACGATATAAATTCAAGTCCTGAAAATGTGACTAATAACTGCGTAGAAGAAATATGTATATTGACATATCGTTTTTAAATCACAACGACAGATGGATTAGAACTTTTTTTCTTAAAAGTAAAGTATTTTAGAGAAACGACTAAAAGTCTTATTGAAATTATGGTCTGTTTCTGCCGGTTAAATTTTATTTTAAAGAAAAACATTAAATAAACACTTGTCTAGACGGTTCGGTTTTGTTTATTTACTACAATTTGAACATCTGCTTCTTAATTGTAATTTGATCTTACTAACTTGTAACTAGTCTATATCCAGCTGCTGTTATGAATCACATACTCTTACATAACCTAATTAATCAGATAGATTGACAAAATACCTAGGGGATATATTGAAATAGATGAGGCAATCGGAATTCAGATTATTTAATAAAACATAGAGTTAAAATGGAAAGAAATTATGAGGCAGTTTGCTTTTTATTTATATATTTACAAAACAATAGAATTTTAAGTCGTTATATAATATATCCTATATATATATCCCATTCATCTCCAGCGTCTTTTCCTAAAAATCTAAAGAGGAAATTAGGTAAAAATGTTGGAGGTGGTCAGAACGTACGTATTGAAATCACCAAACTCTGTAATAAGACAAGCGTTAACTTAAAATCCTGGAGGGATAAAAGAACAAGAGGAAGATCAAAGAACACTTTGCAATGAAAATGTAAAGCAGACATCAAAAGGATGGATAGTAACTAGAAACAAATGGAAAGGATAGTCCAGGGCAGAGTTCCATAGAGAATGCTGGTGAACGGAGTAACAGACAAATGTAAGTAAGTAATATCCGAATTTTAAATTGTGCTTGTTAGATTCATAAAAATATGTAAAACTTTCTTTCCTAAACTGATAAGACATTTCGCAGGACTGTATGTTACAAATTAATTATCTAAACATACTCGACTTATATATTCAAGCTAGGTGTAGGATACATATTATTATGTTCAAGAAAGTCAACAGTATTATTCATGAATATGGAACTTTGGTACAATGAGTACTAATTAAATTAAAAGATTTATTTCTTCCTAAACCGCTAATGCATCATCCTAACATGTTCCAGCTAGCAAGAAATCTAAATACGAAATCTCTTTTCGATCAACCTTAGTCATCAAACAATAATGAAGCTGCTTATAACAAAGAAATAGAGTAACTTAAAGATGATAATTTAGGTGGAAAGTGGTACAGTGTACAAATTGTTTGAAAGGTGTTTTTCTACCGAAGATGATCTTTCTGAGAGATTTTCTCAATTGGTTATTTTACGTTTAAGCTTAAACTATAGAGTAATCAGTCTTTACTATGATTTATGTATCGTGTCTAAATAATATGAATGAATTCTTGTGAATTAATTACAGTATTGTTTACAAGAACAAACTGAAGAAAAAAATATTGTTTGCTTTCAGAGAGGGAAACAATATTTAAATCTCCCTCCAAATCTGTCAAGAAAAATACAAAAATTATTTAGATAATGTTTGAAGAAAGGAGACGATAAGAACTATGATAACATTTTAAGATCAATTGTGTAATAATAAATGATAAACATTTTCAAAGCATTCGACATTCCTTATTGTTGACTAATGAGTGTTTTACACTAAACTAGTTTATATGTTCAAATATGTATTGTGTTTTAACAGTTAGTTGACTTGTAAATAACTATTTTATTAACATAATAAAAAGTTCCAACATTTAGGAAATCTATCCTGTTACCGGAAAGGCTACTATAATGTTCCGGTTTGATACATTTAAGTGAGAAGTATATGTAGGTAAAGATTGGTTGACTTAATAAGACAAATTGAACTTTTTGTTATTCATCGGTTTGGTAAAAATAAAACTAAACGTTTATGATGCATTTTATTTACGTTGTTCTATGTGGTCATCATGGAAAAGATGGCTTGTATTTTTTATGTATTACACATGAATATTCATTCATATCAGGAGTGGTTTCAAATTACCATGATTTTCGATAATGAACTGACAAAATGATGTTCTGTGTGTATGGTATCAAGTTACAACATTAAACATCTAAGCTAATGATGAAATCTGACTGTTTGGATGAAAGTAGGTAGAGTAGGATTACATTATGTAACTTATTAATTGATAACGTCTAATAAAATTAAACTAAATAAATTTTTATATCAAGGCTTAGGTATTTTAAGAAACTGCTTTATTGAAAATAATACTATCAAATTAATAAGTAATATAAAACTCTATGAAGAGGTATAAAAAATCTTGCAGATTTTCTTAACATATATGATGGAATTATCAAAAGGGGTTTGTGGAGATTTTAGAAATTTCACAGATTGAAATCATTAGTCAACTGGAGATAAACCACCATGGAAAACCTGGAAGCACTGGACGGTCGTTTCGTCCTAGTATGGGACTCCTCAGCAGTGCGCATCCACGATCCCGCACGAAACGGCCGTCCAGTGCTTCCAGGTTTTTCATGGTGGTCTAGCTTTAATTGACTCATGATTTCAGCCTGTGATATATGATGGGAGTCAATAGAATCTCTTATCATTATCCATATGATCATAATAAAATAAATACAGATAACTTTTGTTGACTAAACTGAGAAAAGAAATAAATAATACGTTTTTTCTTCTCCTCTGTAATGCTGAAGGTCTCGAATTTCAACTCGAGAAATTCAATTTATGTGCAAAACAAAATCGTTCAACTAGTTATTTCTATGCGAAACTAGACTTTAAGTTTTTCTTTACTTATTTAATATCTTAGTAGTAATATTTACTTGTACTCTATTAATATTTTTTAAAAATTCTTAATGTAAACAGAATTTCTCTTATCACTATGCTCTGCCCGATTGCTTTTTCCTTTTTTGAAAATTTATCTTGTTACGTTATACCGCCTAGTTTCAGAATACTTATTATCTACCTAGTTTTAGAAACATACTTAGCTTATGAATTCACTAGGTGTATCTTCCCGTTATTTAGGACTTCAGTTGATCACTCTCCTGTTGGCATGTATGCATCTTGTGTGGATCGAATCAATGTTGCCTTAAGTCACTAGCTTTTTAAGAAAAAATGGATATTGGTGAACAGCGGAATCCAGGATGAGCGTTTCGTTTTATTTGGGACTCGTCAGCTGGATGTACCTGCGTTGCAGAATTGATGTTCACCCTGGGACTCGAACCCATAGCATTATCCAATTAGCTAATGAGTCCTGATAGCCACCTGATTGTATCTTTCCATCGTTGTTTAGGACTGCAACTAGTCACATCAACTATGGGATGATGAGTCTCAAATAGGACGGGACGCGCGTCCTGAATTCCACTGCTACCTACTATCCATTTTTTCTTAACATTATTCAACTTATTTTCGTCTAAACCTTTTGAAAAGAGTAACCGTTTTTACGTACCATTAACTACTCAACATATTTCACTACTCTTGACCAGTAAATATCATAAACAAGTTTTGTAAAAAATGTGTGTTCGATTTTACAGTTTTGAAAATGAAATCGTCACAAAAAAGGACCATTGTTTGCTCGATCACATTCTTATTTTCATAATTAGTTGGGTGGTGTTTTATCCATTCAGAATAGGTGACAGGAATGAACTTAACTAATTATTATCATTACACATAATTTTAATTATTCACATAATGTCCAACATTAGCAAATCAAATGTTAGCATAACTCTAAAGTTATCTACTATACTAAGATCTAAATAAATTTGATATTTAGTTTAATTAATTAATCAAAAAAATTTAGTTAGAGAATTTTTTGTAGTAACATAAATTAGATTGTGGAACTCTTCATATATTTTCTCATCAGGAGAAATCGGTCAAAAGTCGTGAAAAAATGTGAATACCTCACATATAACAGTAACAACAGAATACATACTTTACCGAATTGCTGATTTATGAATGGAAATGTGGAAATAAAATGTTGATGAATAAAATGATATCAGAGTCTTAACAAAATCTATGTGTGAAATAAAAGACACCGAAGACGATTCTCGGTTATCTATGATCGTTCATTATAATCGCCTAAAACTGGCGTATGACCATATATTATGTTCTGTTTAATTTGTTACAAATTTCAAAGTGAGGTAGAATGAGTTAACTTGTATCCTGTTGTAATTTCATATTACGTTTTGTATTATTCACTTCAGTGTTCCTGCTAAATTACTACTTCTGTGTTGAAATATTACCATACTCCTTTAGAATTGTCGGCTTTTTCTTGCTTTAAAATTATCTTAAAAGAAAAGGCTAATTTTTCTACCGTGGGGATTATTGAAAGCGGTTGGGGACAATACTTAGAGGAGGAAGGTGCATACCAAAATTAGCAACACATAAGACGGAAAATACTTTTGGTTTGAAATTATTGATTGGTTTGATCAATACTTTTAATTGAGCAATCGCAGCTAGTTAGAAGCCAATCGAGCTCAGAATTCATGCGCATCTCATTGAGGGATTCACTACAACGGTAATTCCAGTCATGAAGCACTGTTCGTTCTTAATGCACTTAGACTCCGTTTATTATTTCTGGTTATTCACATTTCCAGTTGATGAGTCTGGCGACTATTTTAATATTTCGAGATCTTGAAAAAATGTTTATTTCCATCCTCTCTCCGTTGGTCTTATAATATCATGTATTAGAGCATTTCAAATGAACTCATTACTGCAGTCGATGACAACTTCCCTGGTGATTTTGTCATTAATTCTATCCATTGGAAGCTCTTTATTTGGTTGTTTCACATAACACTCAAGAATAACCCTTCATTCTTGACTTGATGCTTTCTTCTTGTTCTGTTTCCCTACAGTGTTTATATGTTTTTAATAGTGGTCTAATATTGGTCGGTCCGTGATCTTGGTTAAAACTTATCAATGTCCACAACCATATATAGATAACAAAATATTTTCTACGTAGCAGATAAACTAAAAGGACAAATGAATATAAATTTAATAATCAGTAACACTGAACTTACTTCAGGAATTCTATCATGAGCACTCTTTGATCTACGTGAATTACGAAATTTCAACCGTGCTGCTATACCTCTGGATCTATTTGCAGCTGAAGAACTATTTGGAGGATCTAACACTTTATTTGGAGTAGATATTATTGGATTTCTTGTTTCACTATTACATCGAATATTGAAATGATCGGAGAGAAAATTTGATTCATGTGGAACGGTTCCAGTAATCGCCTAAATTAAAAAATATATAAAAACGCAATACATAGTCTAATAAAAATAATAACTCTATTTTTGTATGTATTCAATACCAATGAAAGCATTTCGCCTTGAAAACTATTCCTGTTCAGCCGATTAACAAAATGTGACTGAGTCATTTGAAGTCAATCAAAAGGCAAGTTTATATTTTATATTTTTAACGTACTGACTGCACCAACAATTTATTGGGAAAAATTGCTTTACATTGAAAATTGCTTGTTAAGACAGTTCCAAATTTACTAATTTAATTTCATTTCATTCACGTCAAACTAGGTTAAACTGGGCTCTAAAAATAAGATATGCTTAACAAAAATTTGTGATCTAGGGCATTCCTTAAATGACCACTTGCACAGCCTTTTACTTAGACGTATGAGCCAAATGTCAAGGAGCACCTTAAATAGATACCATTCTATGTAAGCTGGTGACATAAAGTAGGTTCACACGCCTTTTTGATCTGTAGTTGATATATACCATCGGTTTGAAATAAGGAATTCTCAACAGCTGTCAATCGATCCTTCGTTCCACCTACCCAGTTTTCTAGTAATAACACTTTGACAAAATGAGGCGTCTCTCTGTTACATAAATATACATAAGGACTGCCCAATAACTACCTAAAAATGAAGTAATGAGTTAAACATTACCTTTGCTTTAATTCTTGTACTGTCATTAAAATGGCTGAGATAATTTTTTTCTTTAAATTTGCTACTTACTAAACAAATTTCATTATAGAAATCTACTTCATTTAGAAAGATAATATCATCTTAAAATCTATGGTCAGCTACTACTATTCTTATTAAAAGTCTTGAAAAGTCACTTTTATCCTAATACTGATCAAAATCATCAGTTGAATTCATTATAATTAATAACAAAGATTTAACATTTTCAATAAAAAACATATAAAGAACGTATCCACTAGTAGTTCATGTTTCAATGTTTTCAACAAGTATTTATTTCTGAAAATGGTTTACTTCTGAAATTGGGAATTTTTCATTATATCTCACGAAAATGTTTTATATAGCCAGTTTTAAAACTAAATTGTACTGGTTTCAACTCATCAGCAAAGTGTATTTACAATTTTTTTAAAAACTAATATTTCTTGTTAGTTTTAAATTCATGTATCTTCGTGCCATAGTTGATGATATAACTACTGAGAGCCATTCGAACTGCCGTTGATCTTCAGTTGACGTGGTATGTTTATACTAACTAATTGACGAATAATAACTAATGTCAAATTGTTATATCCGGATAGAGAATAAGAGGATAATAACCGCTGGGAATTAATTATGAACTAATATTATACATGCAATCTCAGTGTATAACCATCAATTGACTATATTATATGTATATTACCCTTATTATAAGCTTCCATCTAAACTAATGACTATTATTATACGATTTACTATTCATAAGATATTCCCAATTTATTAGTAACAGTCTCTCACAATCACAGACTCGTTTTGGATTGATCTTGTCTACAATATATGATTTGTATCGCGGAGGCTAGTATTATAATATTGAATAAAGCTATTAATAATAATAATAATAATAAAATTAACGTTCTGGACTAAACTTGATGCGTTAATTGATTAGTTATTATCTAGGTGAACCAAAAAGAACTTATGGCTGCTCATATAGATTTATGCGTCGTTAATGTGGTCGTATAAATTGATGTCTCTAACTGGTGGTTGTATCACGTGATATAATCAATCGGTCATCAGGACATAACATAAATATGTCTAGACATTTTTGTAAGTGAAATATAAGAATGTCCGATATCATACAGTTTATTGTATTATCTTTTATTAGCGTTGTTTTCATGAAATTTACTACATAAAATCTACACTGAAGTCAGTTTCGAAAACACTAAATGAGAATAAATGTATAAGTAACCTATAATATAAAACCAGTTTCAAAAGCATTGAAGACGTAAATAGTTTACAGATAACAATGTCTTTTTTCAATAATATTACTAACTGTAACATAAAGCTGTTTGAAATTTATGAGAGATCTCGAAATTAAATAGATTCATTTAATTTCCAAAATCTTAGTCTTCCTTTATTTAGGAAGATAAGCATTCAAGCTCATAAATTCAATTGAACATTTCTTATTCATATAAAACTGTATGATAATTAAAGAAAACGAGTATTAATTTATGACAATGACTATTTCAAAGTGTTCTTTAAATGACGAAGATACATAAACAATAAGTGGTCTAAATTCAATCACGAATAATAACAGTAAGATAACTCAAATTTCAGGTAATCATCATCTGAATATCATATTGTTCGATAAGCTAATGTTTACCTGGAATCAGTAGCTTAGTAGATAGAACGTTATTATCTGAAATAAATGCTACTAAGTTTGAGTCACGATAAGAACATAAAGAATGGAGTGCATTTGGACCCAGTTGCTTAATCCCGAATTAGACAAAATGTTAGTCACTATTCAATTTTACTAAAAACCTATAACCATATGGCAATAAAGAAACAATCGATTGAGAATTTATATATGTCAAAAATAGATTAATTGTAGTCTTGAAAATTACCAAATGAAAGATACAAAGCTTTAGGGAAAAAATCCAATTTTTATGAAGATAATACCTTCTTTTAATTAAAACCTTATGTTTCATGTATATTACTTACTTTCCACAAACAATAATTTGATGATTACATGACACATTTTGTTGTTATTGTTATAATGACGAATGATAAGAACAACGAAAACAAGTATTACGCAAAATGTTTATCTTATTTGTAAAATAATAACCAGTAATCTTAAAAACAAAACAACACGGTGAATTATTGACTAGCCATTTTTGATAAAATATAAACAGATGCCTGTCTTATAGTCATACAATAGTTATTACCGATATGCATTATATTTTGCGCAAAATATCCAATGATGGTGATGGTGATGGAAATCATCATCATCAGAGTGGTTTGAAAAACACTATAACTAGATGGAAGTAGTTCAGAAAAGAAGGTTGATTTATGATGTTTGCATTTTTAAGTAGATCACGTTCTAAGTGCTCACACTCGTTCAGTGAAGATATTCTTTAATTTGTATGTTAACTAAGAAAGTTGATCGACCTTTGAGACGAAAAAATCTAAATGATTATTATGTGAAGCACTTTTATAATTTTGAATTTTCACCTAGATTTTATACATTTTCAACTTAATAGGTTTTGGAGATAGTTGAGTATCATTAAAATTATGAACCGATCAATCTTACATTACTTTTGAAAAATCTGAAAACACTGGAAGGCTGTCTCGTCCTTTCATGGAACTCCTCAACTGGGGAGCGCCTTCAAGTTTACGGCGGTCTATCATTGATTGGTTCATGATTTCAATGATTTTCAATTTTATTTTATAGAATATCACTGTGAATAATTAATGCATGTTTATATTTAAACAAATATGAGAAGAGAATTGTTATGAAGAGATCTTTACGCCTGATCATCTAATTTTGATTTATCACAGAATCCACAACCTGTTCGTCTCCACTTAAAATAAGAAATTGAGAAAATTTTATTCCTAATTTGATTGACCTCCGTTTGAAGAACTGAAGTTCAGAGTAAATGATGTGGTGCCTCAAAATTTGGATGCGGCCAATTTGATATTTTTACTCTTGTATGTCATCACACAATCCATCCATTTTCATTATCAGTTTACAATAAAAATTTAGTAATAAATTTGAGTGACATTTTAAAGTATTATCATTTTTCCAGAGAATTTACGATTGAGGCTAGATAGTGATTCGTTTAGATGTGAGCTCAAGCTTAGAGAACATAATGATATGTGTAGTATGCTCTGTTTGAAGTTTATTATCTAATACATGATTTAAAAATCATATAATTATTCAAAAGCGCCTTCTTCGTCTGAACTGCTATGACACGTCATCATGATTCTAAGTTTAACAATTAATTATATTTCCCCTAGATCATTTTTACATTACCTAGTTCTAGCTAGCCTCACTGAATTTAGGATTTAGGTTTAAATGGTGGAGTAACATTAAGTATATAACTATATAGATATAGGCAATTTTATTGTTTCGGTTTTTCTGTAACTTTATAGTTTTTCTAGTGTAAAATAAGTTTTATAAGATCACTACGAGTGGAGTATTCTTGACATAAAAAGTGGAGTAACAAGCTATTTATCTTTAAAATGAGGGACTAGTAATTTAATATTAGTCTATACATTTATCATTCATCACATGTACTTTACTAATTTATCGGACGTCAATTAAGTTTGTAATTTCGTATTAATCTTATTATATTATCGACGCCAATTGAACATCCGTATATATATATAAGATGGGAATCACAGAACGTTTGTGCAAATCATAAAAAGCCCAGTAAATTTTTTATCTCTAAGTGTTCAATGAGAAAATTTATATTGGAAATGGGTTTTGTGATATTAGCTTTAAGCAACTGCTTGTAAAATTGATAATTTATACTTTAAAATGAATTTCAAGTAAAGTATTATTCACTGTATCACATTTATTTTGGAAGTTGATTTCAACCAAAATTTACGATCACCATTGTTATTAAAATATTTTTACAATTTTAGTTAAATAAAAAAATGATTAAATTATTTTCCTTTTTTCGAAAAATAAGTCGTTATTGGGCATTTGTTCTATGCTTTTGTTATGACACGCGGTGCCCAAATTCTAGTACTGATACACAGTGTACAACCCACTAATCACTCCCCCCCCCAATTGACTACTTGAGAGAGAACAAAAGCGTGAGTGAGTAAATGTACTTGGCAACCTAATAAAATGCACAAATACTCATATATATATATATATATATATATATATATATATATATATATCACTCTATCTTTAAGAAATTGACCATTTCTTAGCCAATGACATGCACTTGTCCTTTAGGGTACTTCTGATTACCATCGATTTACCTTCTCATTATGCCATTTTGTGATTGGCTCATCACGCAAGCTTTAATATATGTATGTATT